CCCCAAAACCCCAAAACCCCATCAATAAGAGATAAAAGAGATTTATGAAATCAAAATAATTCTTTAAGAATCAAATAAATATGAGATTTAATAATTCATGTGAGAGTAACTGCACTAATGTCAAAGTTACCCTTAGAGTTCCATAAGGACTCATAAGTTCCTCCATTAAAAGATGTATTTTGATTGTTATATGTTTTGGTTTTATACTTCTCCTATTTCTTAATCAAAATATTCTTATTGCCCATAATCAAAAGCGACTCATTAGCTAGCTGATCACCTCTCTGGAATCCATCATTTCGTTTTCTAGTCATTAACGAACTTTACTATGGTCTCTTGCGCTTCTAATAAAAATTCTCTTTGAAATTAGATCTCTAAGCATTTTGAATAGATGACTCATTGCCAAACTATGAGACATAATCGATATCTCTATTTTGAGTCTGATTGTTTGCTGTTGTATTCATGGTAAAGGAATCAACTTAATATTGCTGCTGATTCATCAGCAATGACTAATTTTAGTTCTTTAGATGTGAATTAAGAAGCTTATTATTCTTAAGTTGATCAATATTGATAGACTCAAAACTGGCTTCATGAGTATCTTTCATCTAACTTAAGTTAGATGTGGCTTTCCCAATGACAGAGGGGGTCTTAGACATTTTTCTCTTTATAAGTGGACTTTGCTGATAATTCTTGCGCTAATTCATAATACGCTGGTAGTTTAAAGCATCGGGGTTTTATCTCTCTAACTCATCTAAGTCTATTGGAGTGCTGATCTACCTCTATACCTTAACTTGCAACTAACTTTACTCATCTTAAATTTTTATATTACTATATCTTCTGACCTGTAATTTTTAGTCAATAAGAGTGAATTCACCAACAGCATTTTAAGAGACTATACTTGGAGGCTGTTACATATTTTTGAATGGAGTCTTTGATATATTCGACTCATATTCATTTATGCTTTCATGATCATTATTAAATTCTCTCTGCGATCCGACACCACTTATCATTTCAGACATTGGCAGTTTTCCTGGAATTTCTGCTAACTGCGATGTTCTCATTGATGAATTCTTCTAGTTTATTTGCAGTTATTACTATTGCAAGTCGATCTTAGAGTAAACTATTTCTTTGTCCAATTCCTCTAATCTCCTTCTTATCTCTTTCTCGAACTCAGTATTATTGAACCCACTACTATCTGATCCTATTTTCTTAGAAATAAGTACTCTTCCCTGCCTATACCCAGATCCATACTTTATCCTATCCAAAAGCAGTCTATTCATCTTTTATTAATCAAATTTAAACCCACCACAAATCTTTAACAAGTCAAATAACTCCAAGTCATCTTCAAGCAATTAAGCTTTGAGACTTGTTATCAAGCTTCTATGTTCCTCTTATTATTCCAATGACATTTAAGTTGATGGCCTGATTTATCTTAAGTTCGTCTTTTTGGATTTATTTGTTGATTCATCTAATGATTTTTCACCTTTGATTATATTTCTATGTCCTTGCACACTTCTGAGACCTTCTCTATTAAGTTAAACTTTCATTTGGATTTTCTGATTATATCGAGGATCTTAAACCCGAGTACTTGACTTTAAATCTGATCCACCGTTAAAATCACTTGACTATGCTTGATATATACTATTATTCTGAGAGTAGTAACCTTAACCACCTTATCTGTCCTAACTACTTTTGATTTACTCTGTAAATGCATCATTTGAATACTAGTTAAATTAGATTTACTGTGCTTTGAGTTCTTAGTTGAGATAATCAAAGTACTACTCTTATTCTTGATTAAGTTGAGGCAGCTTTTCACTTATTTATGATTTATTTAGATTTTCCTTTATTCTCATTTCAGTTATTGGTCTTTAGACTTGATTCTTGTTTATATCGACTTATGGCGATTCATTTATTTATTCTAGAAGTTGACTGTTATTATTGAGCATCATTTATTGCTACAGTAAAAATTGCTGTTTTCCATCAAGAAGTGGATAATGCTAAATACTCTAGACCTTAGAGTATTGAAGCTCTTTAAGTGGAAATTCATTTTTAAAGTTGTAGAGTCTCTGAATCTTGTCCTTTGAATGCTTGATATTTTTAGCTCTCTCCTCCTTAATGATAGATTGAGATTGCTAGCTGTATCGACTCATTTATAACTTTTTAGCCGCTAAACTAGAAGTTTGCTTTCTAATCCTAACTTGCTTTTAATCTTGAAATTGACCTTCGCATAATTAGTACTAAGACTAAAGCACCTATCTCTATTCTATCTATTTCCCCTTTTTACCGAACTTCCCTTTGCTGTTGCCAAGTGGGCTTTCATTAATTTAGTCTTTCTGTGACTCTAGATGTATTCTTCTGAGATAGTTGATATTTACCAGAGGTTGAATGTTATTGTGATGAAGTCCATGCATACTTATTTCGGAGGAAATGTGTTGAGATTTTGCGTTTACTATCATTTATCTATTGGTTTGCTCAGTCTTGTAGTGAGACCTTTGGTTTTCCTCAGTTAGTACCGGCATCATTTGCTCATGAGACTAAAGACCTTCAACATTTTTCCTAATGGTTGATAAATTTTTGGGGGAAATAGCCTCTTCGTATATTCCTTTCGTCGATCTTTCATGATTTTCTTGATTTGCTTTTTGAAAGCTCTTATCTTTTTGTACGATACTCTTTTTAGAATCGATGAAGCTCTTTAAATTGTTCTTGTACTCTGAGCTATTAATCTCTTAATTAGTTGTATCTTTTTCCTTGTATTTAACATCAAGCTATATAACTTTCACATCATGACTTAACTCCAAATTTTCATTGAAATGGTCTTAACTTCTCTCATTCAAGTTCAAAGTCATCAACTGGTTTGAGTTATTTTGGCCAGACTTGGCAAATGAAGTTTTAGATTTGGGATCAAGACCCACACTGTTTCTTGTAACTTGTCTGATAGAATTTCTGTGGCATCTTGACATGGGAATAGCATTGTTCTAGTTTTGATTTTAACTACTTATAGAGTTGGATCGGTAAAACTAAGGTTTGAAGTAGTCGAGGTATTTCCTATCAGTTTATGTAAGATTTATAATGCAATCACCAAAAGTACTCCCATCCATAACATTTTCAAGATTTTTATTTGTTTCCTCTATCTACTTTAGCAATTGAGATTTCTATTCATCTTTCAGATTTTATTATGCAAGTGCAAAATCTGGAGACTGACTGCCTAACCTCTAAGCGAATCTCTTATTAATTATATGAAAATTTTGGGCACCTAAAATAAGTTTACTTAACATAAAGGGAATTCTTACAGTTCATTAACTGCTTCTGCAATTTACCATGCATAATCTAATTTTGATAATTATTTGAGAGCGGCGTCTGATAGTCGTTGGGAATATGAGTCTGACCTTTGTTTAGTGTTGCATGTACAACACTCTCAGTTATGTCTTAGCTTTTTTTACTCTTTCCCCCATATTTGCTACTAATACTATTGCCCTCCTTTGACTTTTTACTTTTGCTTTTCTTTGCAGTTGCACCAGCTCCAGCTGATGGTAGTATTCCAATACTTGTTTCTAGGGCTTCCTTTAAGTTGAATCTATTAGAATTTTGACTCTTTGATTGCCTGAATGCTGCTTCATTTGAGTTATTTCTCTGAGAGTTTTAACCTTCATTCTCGAATATGTCTTAATTCCCATCTCTGATTGGTATACAGGAGTACTCTACTATTCCACCGTGCTCATAGCTGTTCCTTATATGCATATTCTGTGAATTATTAATAGAATTAGTATTGTTTTTAGCCTGAATTTATGGCTATTGCCTTGAAGTGCTCTTATTAAATTTAGCACTTGTCAACTGTGATGTGTTTGAGTGCAACTTACTGTTAACAAATGTTTTTTATTTAATTACTCGAGATTCATCAATCAAAGCTACTTTAGGCTGCAGTTATTACTCTGGTGAACTATCATTGATGTTATTTTTGCTTGAGAAGGTATTGCTTAGCATTCCTCTCTGCAAAAAGAAAGAATTATTTTATTCCTATTGTGCTTTTTGAATTGTGTAGAGTAAAGATTGCTAAGTCTCTTCTGCAGGGTTGTTGTTAAGAAGTGTAGTAACTTAAAAGCTATTGCCGAGGTTATTATTCAAAGCACTTCCACTTATATTCAAGCCTTATGTAGCGTTGATATTGGGACCAGTCAAAGCATTAGTAATGCATTGTATCTTACTCTGAAAGGCGGGCAAATGGATATCTATGATCTCTTTAGGTGCTTATTTGACAAACAAATTCTTGAGTTATTGATTGAATGCTCCTTGCTTTAAGTATTAATTTTGATATAATATTGATTGGTTCTGCTATTATAGCTGCTTTCTCATGTCAGTTGAATTATTCAGAGCAGATTTGCTGCGAATCTCAAGCGATATATTGTAAGGGATTGCTGATTTGGGTCTATACATCATTTGCTTGCTTGCCATATTATGAGAGGGAGTAGATCCATCTAAGTCATATTAGTCTAATATCATTTGCTGAATCTGATTATTTGTGTGTGTTGATTATAAATTTAACTGAATGTTAGAGCTTTGATTGAGAAGTCCACCCATTGCAGTTGCAGTTATCACATTAGAATCCTAATGACTTGGATTGGCACTAGTCTTGTATAGCTGCTGCATATACATAGTAGGCTGTGACGAATGTGATAGAAGCTCCTAAGGGGTTTGAAAGTAGCCTTTATTTTTATTATTTCTTATTGAACTAGTCTTTGATATTTATCGGCCTTATACATGATTCATTTTAAGTATATATTTTTATTTCACAATAAAATCCTTTGATGATCTGTTTCTATCCTCTATCTCGGGGTTTTGGGGTTTTGGGGTTTTGGGG